AAAAGGAAAGTCTTAAGTCCAGTCTTAAAACTGGACAATGTGTCAGCCTCACGGACAGAGATTGGAAGTTGGTTCCACAAGAGAGGAGCCTGATAACTGAAAGATCTGCCTCCCATTCTGTTTTTGTAAATTCTAGGAACCACAAGTAAACCTGCAGTCTGAGAGCGAAGTGCTCTGTTAGGGAAATATGGAACAACAAGATCTGTAATATAAGATGGAGCTAGGTTGTTGAGAGCTTTGTAGGTTAGAAGTAAGATTTTGAATTCTATTCTGGATTTGACAGGGAGCCAATGGAGAGAAGCTGAAACTGGAGAAATATGATCTCTCCCAGTAACTCCAGTTAATACTCTGGCAGCAGCATTTTGGATCAACTGAAGACGTTTTAAAGAAGTATTTGGACACCCAGATAATAAACCATTGCAATAGTCCAGTATAGACGTGACAAATGCATGGACCAGTTTTTCTGCATCATCTTTAGATCAGATGTTTCTAATGTTAGTGATATTACACAGGTGGAAGAAGCAGTTCTAGTAACATTTTTAATGTGGGGGATAAAAGACGTGTCCTGATCAAGAATAACACCAAGATTTTTAACATTAGAGCTGGAGGACAGATTAATGCCATCTAAGGAGGGAGAAAGACTGAAAAATTAATTTCTAAGATGTTCAGGTCCAAAAACCAAAACCTCAGTTTTGTCTGTGTTCAACAGGAGAAAATTAAGGGTCATCCAGGATTTTATGTCTTTAAGACATGCTTGTAGTCTAAGTAGCTGATTGGATTCATTGGGTTTAATGGACAAATATAATTGTGTGTCATCAGCATAACAATGAAAATTTATCCCATGCTGTTTAATAACTTTACCTAATGGAAGCATATATAAGAGTATTAGTCCAAGCACTGAACCCTGAGGAACTCCATGACTAACTTTGGTGTATGATTATGTATGTATTTCTTAGTGTATATCTTAGATCTTATTACTGTTTTTCTTTATAATTTGTACTTTTGTTGGATGTAACTGGGACCCTGTGTACACAATTTTGTTGTATCACCGTGTATGCAGTGAACATTTAGTGTTGACTACATAACAGGTAAATAATAATAAATATATGTTATTCTAATACTGTTATTATATCCCTTTATATGTAATTTCTGAGTTGTGTGTGTTATTGGCTGACTTCAGATCTAGTTAAGATCATCATTACTTATAAACAATATACAGTGTATATTTCTTACACATCATCTAACTGTTTTACATGATTGTTCAATTCAATTCAGTTTATTTATAAAGCACCAAATCACAACAAAGTTGTCTCAGGGCACTGAACAGAAACATTCACATACACACAAAAGCCAATTAGTAAAGTTCTCTATCTAAGGAAGAAATTTAAATTAACAAATATGTAATGAATGAAATTAACATTAATTATCTATTCTATTAATTTATTGTCAAAAGATTACAAGTAGTTTGTGACACAGATCCAGTTGGGCTTGCTGTGGATCAAATAGTTACTTGGCTGGTTGTGAGCTGTTGCCCTCTTTAGTCGCCATCTTTGCTCCTCCACAATGCCACGGATGCAAGCAGTGGGTAAGATGGGAGAGCGCTCTGGTTTATTTAACTCTACGGTCAGAAAACAAATCTTGTACTGGATTCTGGTAGAGACAGGAAGCCATAGAAGTGACTGCCGGACTAGTGTGATGTGCTTAGTTAGTTTTTGTTAACAGTCTAGCAGCACTGTTCTGCAAGAACTTGTGTTTTTGAAGATTTTATTTTGAAATGCTCAAAAGAGTTGAATTGAAAAGCCCAGCCTTGAAGACACAAAGACATGGACAAGTTTTCAGTATCGAGCCAAGATGAGAAATTTTTAGATGAAAAAAGAAGGTTTTACACAAGTGTTTGACATGGTAGTCAAAGAAAAGGTGAGGATCAAACTGGACACCAAGGTTGGTGATAATGGAGGTGAGTGTCCTGACCAGAAAAGGTTATAGCTATTATGGGAGATGACTGGAGCTGATTCAGGTCTCTCTTGTGTAGTGAACTAAGCCTCAGGTCAAAATCTGGCCCTGAGGGCCTTCCTGGAACAGGAACTGTCATGTCATTGATTTGTATCCAGAAATACAAATTAAGCTCATCCAGAGACTTTCTAATTGTATCCGGCACTGATCAATTGAAAGAACACTCTCTTTTTTATTATCATTACTATTTTACAAATGTCTTGATAATCAAAAGTGTATTTAGTTCAAATCATTTTTAAATGTTGAAGTGAACTACTCATTTTCAATCAACTGTGAAACAGTATTAATGATTTTTAATCCTCATTCAAAGTAGAAATCTAGTTAATGTCTGTTACAGAGTAATTATTCATTTTCTTGATCTTCTGTCTGAAATGAGCAAGTTGTGATGTCGGTCAAAAGTCGGAGACAAACGCAAACAAGTTTGTTGGAACGAACTGTCATGTTTTTAAAACCTCTCAGACAGAAACAGAGGAGCTGGCGCCTGTTTCCTCCCATCTCGCCTAAACATTTCTCTTGTTTGTCTCAAAAACATTTTTCTGTCTGTTCCAAAACATCTCACTGTTTTTCTGACTTCTAGTGACCTCTTACGTCACTAAAACCACACCCCTGATTGGCTCTTTCAGCCAATCAGGACTTCCCAAATGAACCGGAAACAGAACTCTTTAAATGTCGACACTTCCTAGTTCCAAGGAGTTCAGTTCGGAGAGCAGAACCGAACAGGAAAGTTGCTGGAGAGAACAAGAAGTTCCAGACATGATCCGAAGTTCTTCCGAGTCTCGTGGGGATTATGGAATCTTCCACATCTGAGTGGAACCTCTGACGGGCTCACAGCTCATGTGAGTCCACCCGTGAGGTGAGCGTGGTGTTGAACGAAGTACCGTCACTACTTCGGACGATTCGCAGCTGTTCCTACGGAGACGCTGGAAAGGTAGCGTTAAATGGAACTCCGTACCAGTGGAGACATCTTCTACAAGGTAACGAGTCCCTCACTACCTAAGTGTACCGAGGTGGAGCTGGGTTCGGATGGAGGGTGCCGTTCGTTATCAACCCACTTTTCCCTCATCCATCTCTCTCCATTTAAACTCCTTCATTTTCCCATCTTTAAAACTCTTCTATCTGCCAGTAAATCATCCAGATATTTTCATAAATGTCTGTTGTAATTAGGCTGTGTTATTGCGTACAATCAGAATAATCACGTGTACAATGTTTGATGTTAAATTTTGATTCTGTTAATAAATGACCACATTCATTTTGATGGGTCAAAGAAAATTAACGTCTCACGTCACTGATTAAACCATCTCCCACACAGTATCTCTGTCACATATCTGTCAAGTAGCTCAAAAAAGAGAGAATCCGTTTAAATTAAGTATAATATCAGGTACTTGAACTAGTCCAGATATTATAACGTGTAGTGCAGCTCCGAAGCTAAACGAAGCTAACCGACCTATCCCACTACACTTGTAAATGAGTCCTCGAGGCTCAATGGGATTAACTTGTCTAAATAAAGGTTGAATGATGGGAAGTTCCAATCAACATGACTTTATTTCCTCCAGACAGATAGTGAGTGTAGAGATAGTGATGATGGTGGGGTGGTGTGGAAGATGAAGCAGCTGATAGGTGGCACATTTATGTAAAGATAGTGTCATCAGCATAGCAGTGGAAGGATATTCCATGGTGGTTGATGATCTGAGTAAGAGGAAGCATGTACAATATGAAGAGAGTAGAGCCAAAAACTGATCCTTGAGGAACTTCTCAAGTGGCAGCATGAATCTTTGACTTGGCTCCTATGATGGCAACATGTTAAGCGCTATTTGAAAGATAGAAGTGGAAGACATCAAAGTTCATGCTCAATCATCCAGGTACAAAATCCAATAATGGTCAGTCAGGTCATCTAGCCAGTTTCTTTTTTGTGGATTGATTCCTCCCAGGCAGGCAGCCACAGCCAAAGTGGTTCAAGGTCTCAAAGTTCATGCTCAATAATCCAGGTACAAAATCAATTAATGGTCTCAGGTCATCTGGACAGTTTCTTTTTGTGTGTAAAGACATTTTGCCCTCTATAGTAGTTTCCCCACTAAGCAGTACACTCCTTTAGTGGACCAACCAGTATGCTGGTGATAAGATGGTTTCTGGGGGCTGCCCTGTCCCCCATCGACTCCTCCTATGCAGGCAGCTACAGCCAAAGTGATTCAAGACATCAAAGTTCATGCTCAATCATCCAGGTAGAAAATCCAATAATGGTCAATCAGGTCATCTGGACAGTTCAGTTTTTGTGGAAAGACATTTCGCCCTCTATCTGGAGGGCTGTGGCTGCCTGTCGACTGGGGACAGGACAGCCCCCAGAAACCATCTTATCACAAGCAAACTGGTTGGTCCACTAAAGGAGTGTACTGCTTCGTGGGGAAAACGTTTACTTGTGACTCCTCAGACTGATGAAGCCCTCCGGATAGCGGGCAAAACGTCTTTCCACAAAAAAGAAACTGTCCAGATGACCTGATTTACCATTACTGGATAGGAGTGGAATCAGTCAAGAGCAGTATCTCAAAGCCCATTAGGATGAAAGAGGTGGTTCAGGAGAACGTTGTGATCACTCGTATCAAATGCTGAAGACAGACCAAGAAGGATAAGAAGAGATGGTGAGTCGGCATTTTCTGCCATCGACAGGCCGCTGGTGAACCTGAACAAAGCTGGATCAGTGGAGTGTGCAAAGTGGAATCTGGACTGAAACTTTTCAAACTGGCTGAGGTACAGCTATTTTTGAGTTTCCTAGAATCAGTTGATGGTGGCGGCCATCTTGAATTGGGTTGACAATCAGTTGTAGACGCTCATCCACAGATTACTTTGAGAATTTCATTCAAATCTGTTCAGTGGTTCATGAGATTTTTTTTTTTTTTTTGCTAACACATACATGCACACAGACACAAACATGCTCAATCACGTTCAGTAGCAGGTGATAATTACATAATGTATATGAATCACAGTGTACTCACATCCAGCCCAACGGGTCCGACACCCTGTGGGAGACAAAACATAAAATATGAGTTCCAAACAGAGACTCAAGCCAAGTCCTTCACATTAACATTCAGTTACATTCAGCGCTACCTCTTACCAAAATGTGATATCTGTATTTTAAATACTGCATACATACCGACATTCAGACTTTACTGGGTTGCAGCAGGTATAAATATAAAACAGAAATACTGCAAGATAAACATGTGAACTCACGGGCTCTCCAGCAGGCCCTTGAACTCCAGGATCCCCCTAAAATCGACAAGATCACATCATAACTGTGAGAACGGGACATGGACGTCCTGAGACCCACGTCCTTACGTGGAGACATCAGCTTCTGTGCACCCTAAAACACCATCATGTTTAATTAGACCTGCTGTCCTGACTCAGGGCACTTGATGTGAATTTTCACAACTGTTACTTTTTTTAATTTATTTTAATTAATAACATTTTTGATTCACCAGTCATTCAATAACAATAGTTATTTTAATGTCTATGAGGTCCTACTGCATCAGGTAAATTTAAAAACAGACCAAATAAAAGCTCAGGTCTTCACTGTGGATGTGAATCAGTAGAAACAAATTTAAGAGCTCAGTTTCCTGTTGAGATGATTCATTTACCTTTGAGCCTTTTGGACCCACTGGACCTGGATCCCCAGGAGGTCCTACAGGTCCCTGCAGAGAGGACACAAGGTTTATTAAAATTCACATGTTTGGCTGTGGGCGGCACATATAGAAGAGTTTCAGTTAGAAAGATACAGGATCGAATCCCGAGCTGGGACCCCTCTGGGTGGATCTAGGACCCGACTTACCTTTGTTAGATTGTTCTACCTGGATTATTGAGCACCAGGATACTTTCTGGGTGGAGTTCTCTCTGTTCGTTTGTTTTGTACAAGTACCCGGCCTTCCTCCCACAGACCAAAAACATGCATGGTAAATGGTAACTCTAAATTGTCCCATGAGTGAGACAGTGAATGGTTGTTTGTCTCTATGTGTCCCTGTGATGGACTTGGACCTGTCCAGGGTGTCCCCCACCTCTCACACAGTAACTGATGGATATGAGCACCAGTGACCCAGAAATGAAGAAGCGAGCAAAGATAATGGCTGCTTGGATATTTGATCATGATCTGCTGAAAAATTCAGAGGTGTCTTCAGAAATGTTTTAATGGGGTGTCCATATGTTAGCCACTGAAAATCCTTGAGGGGGTACACCAAAACCAAAAGCCAGAACCGACTTTCAGAAGACTTATTATTTTGTTGTCATATACAGGTTACTTGGGGGCACTCATGTTTATTTTTTCATCTATTTCCAGGTTTATGACATTTTTTAGCAACTTTCAGGCACTCGTAAATCAAAGTGTACACATTTTTCCTCGTTGTTTATAAAATGTCCTCTTTTATAACATTTAAATCAAAAGTTACTGAATGAAGAAATAGCCTGACCTAAAATGACTGATTCTTCCTCTGGTTGGTTCATCCCGTAGGATTAAACGTCTTAACTTACCTTTCATTGTTTAGATCGTATGTGTCAAACTGAAGGCCCATGGGCCAGATCAGGCCTTTGTTATTATTTTATTTGGTCCATAAGATAAAAGTTTAAATGAATTACCAGTCAGTAACAAAATGAAGTCTCTAATGCTTCTGATCTTACATTTAAAAAAACCTGAACTTACTTAGAGCAGATTTTTCAGAGCAGTTTGCCAATTTAAAGTCAAAAGATAAAAAAGTTGGAAAAGATAGTAAGTTTTCATTTTGGCGCAGAAAAAGCAACAAAAGAAAATTTGAACTGATCACAGATAAACTTGCACTCAATATTTAATTTGTTTTCTTCTCATTTCAAAGCAAAATATTAATTTAATTAATTTAATTTAATAAAATTGAATGTATATTTGGATTTTTTTTACAACTAATTTAATGGATTACAATAAAATGTGCTAGTAAGAAGTATATAACAAAAACCCTGCTGATAGAAAGCAAGGCATAAGAATTGAATAATGATCATTTTATCATTCATATCATTTGTTCATTAATAAATAGGTGGTTCTAAAATACATATAATGTGGTATTGGGCAAAGATAATTTGTGTTTCCTATTTGAATAATTTGTCATATTACATTTGAAATCAAGATAATTTTATAAATATTTTAATCAGTTTTAACTGTTTCAGGTTTTTCTTTTCAGCCTCTTGTTGAAGTTTGACCATCCTGGTTCAGATCTTCTTTAAACCTTTTTTAATGAGTACCTGCTACAAGAACTTCCAGTTAGTCAAAGGAAGTGAAAATTAAGTCACTTTAAACCAGTTTTTTAATGTTGGACATTTCTTAGATTTGATCTGAATGTTCTGGTCCTTCCTTTGGCCAACAGATGACCGACGTGTTCGCCCAGCCCGGGTCCGTCACCGCAGCAGACAGGAAGCACACTGGCACCATTCTGCTCCTCTCCCAGCATACAGGTCGCTCCTGTCAGCCGTCTCTGGGAAGCCCATTCCACTGCCCTCCCTTCAGACGTGCACAAAAAGAACCCTGTTCCTGTCAGGAAGCTGCTCCAGACTCGCCCCTAAACAGCCAGATTGATTTATTCGGGGAACGTTTTTCTTACCTAACAGAGGCCAAGACAAACTGTTCACACAGCAGCAGATTTAAATTTCAATCCTCATCTTCTCGATCGGGGGTGTCTAAAGTCTTGGACACAGGCCAGAACCATCTAGCTGAAAAGACTTTATATTTTAGTCTGTGCTCTGGTATGAAATCTTACAATGAGTCAGTCACTAAAACTGATTCTTTGAAAGATTTAAGGGACACCAACAAAAAGGAACTTGAATTATTCTTAAATTAAGCCCACTCCACATGCTGGGAACAGAGTCCCATGTCCCTGTATTGAGGATTAAAGCCTCATCCTCACTGACCTACACAAGGCGAGGTCAGTGAACAAGGCCAGGCTGATTCTGGCAGATCCTGATCATCCACTCCATGGTGCGTTCAGGTTGCTTCCATCTGGACGCAGGTATCTGCAGCCCAGATGTAGAACGAACAGACTGAAAAACTCTGTAGTGATCAGGTTTCTCAAGGAACATTGATGACGTCAGTATTTTTATTTTAATGTTTTAATGTCTTGTGTAGTTTGGATGGTTTATAGCTACTGACTGTGAAACTAATTGCCGCTCGGGGATAATAAAGATCCTTGAGCTTGAACACTTGCTACACAGAACCAAGTTTTATAAATGGTTAACCAAACGTCTCCATTTTAGTAAAAGTCAGTCAGTGTTTGTGATAGCTTTTATAACAAAGCTGGAATAAACGTATGAGAAATTAAAACACAGTTTGCACTGGGTGTCCATCTGCACCAGCCTCTTAAACCTGCGGGCCAAAACCATTTCAATCGAGGGTCATGATGGCCTGTAGGCCATACTTTGGACCACCCTTTTCCAGATTAATGCAGATAAAGTCCAAATAATTCTGGTATGGTTGTGTCAAACTGCTGTAAAATGTGTCTGGTGGATGAGTTCCCCACAGACGTGATGTTTGACTTACATCTGCCCCTGGAAGACCTGCGGACCCAGGAGCCCCATCTTTGCCATTAGCACCGGCAGGACCCTGAAAACAGAAGATTCAGCAACATCAGTCCAAACGTTAGCATCCAGAACAGCTTGTGTCGTTAAACTGTGACTCACTGGTGGTCCGGTCACTGTGGAGTCTTCGCCTCGCTCACCCTGAAGACACCAGAGACAGGAACACAAACGTTAGTCATGAACGCAGCTTCCTGTTCTGTCAGATTGTCTCATTTACACGTGAAATTAAAACAGTCATATACAACGTTGAAACTCTGGGTAAAGATGGACGCAGTGCTGTTGTTGTATTTTAAACGGAGCCTCCTGACTCAAACAGCTGCTGTCTGATGATCTGAGAGGTGACTGGCTCAGTGACCTGAAAAATAACTTCTTTTTAAACAGAGAGAAAATTTCAGACTCACATCAATCCCGTCCACGCCGGGGACACCAGCTATGCCAGGAGGTCCTGGGGGGCCTCTGGGACCGACTGCACCCCTCTTTAAAACAAACACAGAATCAGTTTTTGTTTTTCCGTCACCGAACATGCAGCGCTGCAGCTGTTTCTGTGCAGGGCCTGCTCACACAGAGGCCCATTGTCTGCGTGACGCGAGGGGAAAGGTCATGAAACTGAACCTGGCTTGAGTTTAGCCCCATTATGCTGCCTAAGTAGCTGCATGTGTTCAGATTACTGCTGCTGTCTGGACTGTAGCGCTGTACGGTGGACACGCTGGGATTAAGAGGCTTTTTGGATAAATATTGTCCAAGATGTTTATGACAGTACAATGGTGCAGATTGTAAAAAAAATAATGCAACATCTACTTTAAGTTCACCTCGTAATATTTACACGCTCCATCCCAGGTGATAGTTCACCCTAAACTGAAGTTCTGTTAAAACAACATCTGAGACAGATTTCATCAAACGGCTCCGAGCGTTTAACCAGCACAGGTCAGTTTTCATTTGGCTCATATCAGAAAAACACTAGAACATCTAAGCAGTTAAAAAACAGAAAAACTACATAAATCATAACATCATAGAACATTAAAACTAAACTGAAGGCCAGACTGACCCTCACAGATGCTCTGAAATGATGATCCTTAGAAAAATTAAAACATTTTGATTTTCAGTCTGATATTAGCACGTGATCCACTGCAGCCTGCCTACACCTCATAGTCTCAGCACCTTCCTCTCACCTGAGCCCAACAGATCAGCACCATCTGCAGGAAAAGCACCAGCAGGGACTCCTGAGAAATCCTTAATAGGGCCATAGTCGTCTTCAGATGCAGGCAAAGCTTAAAAGCCTCGTTTTACCAGGTCAGTCGGGGCTCTTTGACAGTCCACCTGCCAGTGCGGCCCCCAACTAAAAGCCCACTGTGTGCTGGAACGAGACGATGTGAGAGAGTCCTGCTGGGAACCTGAGGCTCAGCCGACCTGAGAGGGAGGGGTTCTGTGGACTCAGACTGCTGACTGATTCTCTCCACTTAGAAAGTTTAATGCTTAAAGTAAAAATACATTACAGGTATTTTTTAATCATGGTGTTATAAACTATTATCACTGTTGTTACTAACATCTGATTGTTTTACTCTGCTAATGGACTTTGCT